TGACTAAAATTAAGTCAAGCTGCAAAACATTACCCAGAATGCACTGTGGATTTTTTTTTTTTTAAATAAGCATCCCAGGCAGTATTTTGTTTTGTTTTATTTTGTTTTTTTCATCCAAAGCCCAAAGCACCATAGGAAGAAGAAAGAGGAGGTAGGAAGTTTCAAAGGGTAACTCACATGTATATCATGAAATAATGCTGAACCCTAAAGTATTTACAAGATAGTCCCTTAAGCATAGTTTGTCATGTTGCAATTACACCTTGCCTACTGCCAAGCCTAAGTGCTTACTATTGCCACTAGAGGGGGAAGTGTCTTAACACAAAGCAACGGCAGATAGGGAATGTGTTTTCTTGAGCAATTATCAGAACAAAGCTCCCTTGGCTGTGTGCACCTTCTAATTACTCAATACAATTAAAATGACTAACCTAAAACAAACAGAAGAAAAAGCTGCCTGCCTGATAGAAGGGACTTCATTAAACCTTTTCCCTTCATCAATCAAATCAGAAAGAAGAGAATGGCATCATACACAAATACTGGAACTGAATTCTGCTGAGCTGCTTTTAGGGAGAAGTGACCTCTGAAAAAGCAACATAGAGCAGAGAGGGCTGCTGTCTTTTCTCAGCTTGCTGCTCATGAGCTGTCGTTGCTGTTTGGTCGATACGCGCTCTGATGTCATCTTCTATGCCTGTGATGGGCATCTTCTTTCTCCTACCTGTAGAAAGGGGCCAAGGCCATCCACGCTTCCATTGTTGGTCCTCCATGGTGATATTTACAATACTGGAGAGATTTTTATCAGGAGAAGAAAATCTCAGGCAAGGAAAACAGTTATTCCTTCCAAAAGACTTATGTAGTTCCTTTTGTAAGGCCCAGGCATTAACAGAAGATGACAACAGACTCATTTTTCTTCCGGCTGACAATTGTGACATTTTTTCCAGCAGCGTGCAAGGTGTTGAAAACCTGGCAGCTGTTACCTCCTGGGATGAGGATACTTTTTTATCCTCCCTTGACAGTTTAACTCAGTGGGTCAGCACCTTTAAAGACTGCAAAGTATCCTTGAAGAGGATGGAAGCGTGAATTACTGCTCCCTCCCTAATCAATGTAAACCCTCACTGCAGGTGAAGTCCCTCTCTATAGAGGTGCACAGGGGAGGAAAATGTAATGCCCTAAGCCAGATGGTTTTTATCTTGTTTTTAAAGAATAAAGGAACAAGCTAACAAGGGAGACAGCTACTTTGTTAGCTTCTTGGCCTCTCTCATGGCTTTGCATCCCCAGGGTTCCAGCTACACAAGAGAAAGAATACAGGAAAATGTAAACACTTAAAGAAATATAACTAGAGGGCTGGCATCACGCTGCTTTCAAAGAGTTGAGAGAGCTCCACTCAATGCTTTATTTATCACTGCCCACGTCCTCGGGATGGTAAGTGGACACACACACAAAGGGGGTGGAGAATGAGAGAAGAATTAGGCAGCAGCCGCAATTTACTCAATTAGAGAGAAAGGGAGTGCTGACAGATCCTATTAGCGCCAATGGGAGCAAAGAAGTGTTGCATATTGTAGTACTACACTTTCAAAAAGTAAAGAGCACTTCCACCTTTCTGGGACTTTTGCCCTCCCATCACACACGGTATAAAAACTATAAAATGGTGGCTATGTTTTCCATAGCTTCACAGTTTAGGAGTAAAAGCAGGAAAAAAACTGTATCTATGTCCTATTTTTTTTTTTTTTTAAAGTTCATACTTAATGCCAATTGATGACAAAAAGAGCTCTATCTCTTAACTTTTTCACCGGTTTTTGTTAATTTCTCTATCAAGTTTTGGAAGTGGTATTATGGTAGTATTATAGCCCAAGCCAAAAAGTAGTCTTTCTTTTTTTGTTCTGAAAAGGGAAGGTTGTAGTACAAAATTGTTTTCATTTTTGTTTTAAATTTTTTTTAAATCTCCAGTGAAACCATATGAACATTTTGATAATTACAATATCATATTTAATAGAAATAACTGTCTTTTACCTTGTGTTAGTTTTGTAGGTTGTTTTTTCAAAGAATCTACCCATTTTATCTAGTCAATTTTGGCATAAAGTTATTTATAATAGTCCATTATTCTTTTCATGTCTCTAAGAATTATAGTGATAATCCTTCTTTCAGCTACTGCAATATTAAAACATTAGCAGCCATGTCCCATCAATAATGGCAAGCCTTTCCCTGAAAATAATCTACATAAACTATAAGGTTTAGTTATAACAATATTAGGTTTTTAGAGTACAAGTCAATTTTTGGATATTTAAGGGTAGGAGATTCCTGAAATGAATTAGAAATGTGTGCAAATGAATTTCAGCTTAAGAGAATAGCCCCACAAAGCAACACTCACTTTAGGCTGGCCTTGACATCTTTTTGTCTATAGATTGTGACAATAGACAAACAAAATAGCAAATGGCATTTCCTTATTGTCACATGCAATGGAGAAAAAGAGGAGTTTAAACAGCTTGTGTATTATGTACTACCTTAAACAAAAAGTCAGAAGTGGGGTAATCAAGTTCAGGGCAGTCCTGGACAGCTGCCCTGTGACCCGATTCTATTGACCCCTTCTATTCATCACTCTTTCCCAAGATTGAGAGGGCAAGCTCCTAGGGAGTGACCACCACAATAGACAGACACAAGCCAACAGTAATCTGGTTCGAGCAAAAAACCAGATGGCACTGCAATAAATTTACAAATCTGCATTCATGGGGCTGTTGAAACGCCCAGAAGCTAAAGGCTCTGAGGCCCCAGGAGGCTCCCCTGCTCCCTAACACTAAAGGCCATCTCTCTCTCTCTCTCTCCAAGAACACAGTTCATGCTCTTCACAAAGAGAACGGAGATAAAAACCCTCTACAAAAAAGGGAGGGGGAAGCCTCATGACCTAATTAATCTCCAGAGCTTGGATCTCAACACTGAATGACAGATATTAGAGAAATCATTCTGGAAAAAAATGGGGGGGGGCATTAAATTAAAGTGGAGAGAGTAAAAAGAACCTGCTAAAACAGCAATGAGGAAAAAATGTTAAATCTCTTTCAAGAACTGCAAACAACAGATCTTGCAAGCAGAAAATGATTCAATAATGTATGCATTTATTTTTAAAATGAATCAGATTAGTCCCATGTGTGACCTGCTGGTCCATCTGTATGTGCTGGACTTAATAGGCACGATTCTCTCTCTTGCTTCAGTTTGAAGTATGAGAGAGATAAATTTAGTTTAATTTTCAACAGATCAGCCTATCCATTTTCCAAATGGACCATCTGGATCAGCCTATTAAAATTAATTTATAACTTTGCAGAGTGAAAATTCGTTTGTTAGCTTAAATAAAGTTGCCAAAACTTTTTGTTGCATGATGGTTTTTTGACAGCTGCTTCAGTGTAGTGGACAGAGTTTTTCCATCTCCAACTTTACCTTACTCAATATTGTTTTATTGATTTCTCGAACAGAACAGATCTGGTGCCTATCTCCAAATAATTAAAATTAACTGTCTTGACATCAATTTGTTTTGAAAGCTTCCTATATGGGCTCAATTCTATTTAAAACAATTATTTTATTTAAAAAAAATGAAAAGTGACTATCCAAAATGAGTTAACATATGATAAATAAAAAATAATTGTGTTTGGTCCCCTCCCTTTAGGTGAAAACTATGAAAACCGGACCCTGAGGCAGAAGTAGAAATTCTCTGGAAACAGTAAGGCCCGAATTCCAAATCAATCACTAGCGCTGGCCAGATCTAACCTCTTCACACCTCCATTTGCTTCATCAGGAAACTGGAATCTGATCCTATCTATCAACTCAGCAGTGTTATCACAGGACGGAACACAGTAAATATGTTTGTGGTGAGTATCCAACAAAAAACATCACTGCTCTCCTATGTCCTAGAACAGGGCCATAAAACATAACAAATTACAATTGTTTGTACTGCTGCTAGTACTCATTTTTATACAAGTGTATACTAAAAATGATTATGTGACATTTACTTTCTAGCCATAGTAATTTAATGAATAAATAATTTAATGACTCATTCTGTTTGTAGAAAATTATAAAGGTATTACAGGTTTCTACAGGTAAGAAGGACATTTTGTTCAGTCACTATTTTGGATATTTTAACTTAAAGAAAATCAGGAGACTGAAGTTTCACAAGTTAAATAAGTTAGCCCTGGGAAGCAAGGCACAGAGACCGGAGGAAAAGGATTTATATTTTCTCTTTTTCTCCCTACCTATGTGCGCTATGTAAACATGTTCTCTATCACTCTGCACCCTGACCAAGACTCTCTCCTGGGATCCCTTGCCCCTCCTTTACAGTGCTGGATTACACATGGCCTGCCACACTTTTGGGTTCTGGGGATCTGAACTCTGGTCCTCATGTTTCCATGGCGATCACTTTAAACACTGAGAGCCACTGCTCCAGTCCCCCCAAAAAAATGCTTTAAAGTAATCATCAGTAGTGGACTTCACTTCTAAACACCAAAACGAAACTAAAAGATTCAAACTAGAAGAAACCATCTTTGTTCGAGATCTGTTGTTGTTGTTGTTTAGATATATGCTGGACCGTACATAACCAGGAGGTGCTTGTAATCCCAGCGCTCGGGGTGCTAACATGGCAGGCCTGTAACAGTAAGTCATTTAGCCTAGGCTATGTAATGAGACTCTGTCTCAAAAACTTTTCAATTAAAATTAAAATGTATAAATAATCCTTACTTGGAAATAAATATTACTGTTAAATATCCCATGTCTATTCTATGAAGCACTTAAGGTCAGCTAGCTAAACAAGACCTCTTTACTGCAATTTAAATATTTACTATATATACTGACTGTCAAATAATGTTACCTGATTGGGCCAGACCAACTTCAGAATACAGGGCTCTGCCTTTAAACTCCAATATTTTAAAGACTGACAGCCAATGGCTTCCTGTCCTTTGCTTTTTTTTGGAAGCTATTTTTTTTTTTTTTTGGAAGCTTTTTATTTTAAGTAAGACTAAATTCCATACCTGTCTAAGTGAATTCTTCTCGGGTATTATCTTCCTAGGGGGCTCGCCATTATTACAGTCTTCTCTCTCTGAGGAATTCTGTGAAAGAAAGTAAGCTTTAATTCAGTTCTCATTATCTTCAATCTTATTCTGTGGGAGTAAACTGAATTACATTTCTAATTCTGTAAGCTAGAACACCATGTATATTTATGCACTTGAAGATTTATATACATACAGACATACACACATGTAAAGGAAACCATATGCCCATGTATATAAATAAATTCATGTCAGGATCTGGCTGGGAGGAATTCTGTCTGTTTAAACACTACCCAGGAGGATCACATTAACTAGAAGTCTACTTTATTACACGTTGACACTACAACTTAAGAAAGTTGTAGGTGTGGTGGTACATGCCTTTAATCCCAGCACCTGAGAAGAGGCAGGTGGATCTCTGAGTTCCAGGCCAGCCTCCTCTAGGCTACATTTAGCTGATGACAACTAAATCATGATTATTACATTCTTTTAAGTATTTAGCTAGTCTTTAACTATTGTAAATGCTTGATACTAATCTCCTAGTCTAGACTCTTAAAGAAATAAATCTTTTTCTTTCTCTCATCTCACATTCAATTTCTCTTTCTTACAGAGAAGTAGCATACCTTTTTGTTTGTTTGTTTTTCTTTCTTTCTTTTGAGACAGGGTTTCTCTGTGTAACTTTGGCTGTTTAGACTTAGACTTGCTTTGTAGACCAGGCTAACCTCAAACTCACAAGAGATCTACCTGCTTATGCCTCCCTAAATGCTGGGATTACAGGCCTGCTCATGCAGCTAAGTAGCACAGATATTATGTCATTATTATTAACATAATTAGCATTTAATCTGTGGTTTAAGATTAGAGGGGCTGGAGAGATGGCTCAGTGGTTAAAGCACTGGCTGTTCTTCCAGAGGACCAGGGTTCAGGTCCCAGCACCCACATGGCAGCTCACAACTGTAATGCCCACTCCAGGGGATCTGACACTCTCATACATGCAGGCAAAATACCAATGTACATAAAATACAAATATAAGTTATATTTTTAAAAACGATTAGAGTTCATTCTTTGTCAGGATTACTTCCAACAGTAGCTTACAAGATCCTAAAATGTCAAAGGGATTTTTATACACTAAAGAGGAACAATCAAAAACAGATTCAAAAGTATTCAAAATTTGCTGAGCTTAGTAGTTTATAACTTTAATCCCAACACTTGGAAGATAGGCAAGAGGATCTTTAAGTTTGAGGCCAGCCTGGTCGGCCTAATGAGACCCTTTCAAACAAACCAACTAACCAACAAACAAACCAAGGACAACAAATGCTAAACATTTGCAAAACAAACACAGAAAATCCCAATTATATTTATTTGAATTCTCTATTTAACAGTTTATAGCTTACAACTGACAAATTTGTTACATTCTATAAAATCATCACATTCTAACTAGTTACAGTAATTTTAGATTCAGGGCATAATAAACATCTGAAAATTTTTATTTTTTTAAATTTAATGCATGAAATTATATACTCACTATTATGCTGTAAATAAGCATATAGAATATTCTGTTTTGGGAGGAAAAAAAAATTGAAAGCTGCCCCTCAAAATAGAGGGAAAATAGTTAATGACTAAAAAGCATTACAAATGAGGAATAAAGAATTACTAATGTGGGACTCCAGGGGGCTGGAGAGATGGCTCAGAGGTTGAGAGTACTGACTGCTCTTCCAGAGGTCCTGAGTTCAATTCCCAGCAACCACATGGTGGCTCACAACCATCTATAATAAGATCTGGTGTCCTCTTCTGGTGTGCAAGTACATATGCAGACAGAACATTGTATATATAATAAATAAAAATAAAATCTAAAAAAAAAAAAAAAGAAAAAAAGAAATAACAATGAGTTGTTATTATTTTGAGACAGTCTCACTATGTAGCCTTGTCTGGCCTAGAACTCCCTGTCTTTGCCAGAGTGCTGGGATTAAAGGCTAGGTGTCTCTGTTAAAAGGAATTCTAACAAGAGAAGAAAAACCTATAAACATTGTCAGAGCTAGATAGTAATTAATGAGCTCTCTTGAGTGTGAACTTGCACCAAGGTGAAAGTACATGTTGCACTTTGATCTTTGTTTGTTACTCTCAAGTTGGGAGTGATTGCTCACCTCTAATTCCCTGACACTCCGCATTTCTCCTTCAGTGTTAGCGGTAACCAGTTTCTAGCCCCTTATGTCCCGTGAGGAGGAATTCCAACAGGAAAGGTACCCAACTGCTCTAGCAACAAATTAAGTTACAGTCAAGTTGACATAGGTAAGAATCACCCAGAGGTACTGAACTAGCAGGTGAGCCTTTATAAGAAGAACTGTTACATAATTTTAAATATATCCCCACCACCACCACCACCACCACGGTACTTAAAAAATACTAAGTCTACTACAGTTGAAAAATCTGTGTAACACAGTAATATTACATCTCTTGGTCTAGAGAGATGGCTTTGCAGAAGCATTTCTAGAGCACCTGGGTTCACTTCCCAGCACCCACATGACAGCTTACAATTGTTCACAGCTTCAGTTCTAGAGATCAGATGCTCTCTACTGACCTTCATAGGCACCAGGCACCTGCATGGTGTACTGATACACTGACACAGATACAAATTAAAAAGTTAAAATAAATGAGCAAATTTAGGATGAACAAATCACCTTTCAAGTTTCCTTGTCCCAAATGGGAAAATATCTGATCTGGGTTGGGGAGCTAGCTAAATGGGTAAAAGTGCTGGCTGTACAAGCATGAAGATTTAATTTTGGCTAGCTGAGATGAAGAGGACGCCCTGTACAAATAGGGTGGAAGGAGAGGACTGACCTTCAGGTTGTCTTATGACCACTGCACAGGAGTACAGCCACATGGGAATCTGTGCCTGCCCCCATCTACTCTAAGACAACGAGCTAACCCCAAATGAGGGCAATCCTACACAACTACTATTCAATAACAACAAAAAAGCCAGCCACAAATTAAGGAAGGAATTGTTTCTATTTAAAAGAACACTGAAGAGACATGACTACTAATTTAAATATGTGATCTGAGTTGCCCCCCCCTCCATAAAGGCTAATATTTAACAATTGGGAAAAAATTCTGAGTAAGAAATGTAGACATAATAATATTAAATTCTAGAATGTTTCCCAACTTTTATGTTTCACATTCATTCTTTTTCATGTACAGACATGGGTTTTTTTAAAAATATATATATAAAAGTGTACCTATAACACAGTCAAGTTCTAGAACAATTTTACCCCCAAATTTTTATGGTCAAGCTTATCCACATTGAAAACCATTTATGTTGTTTTAGCTCAATAATTTTGTCTTTTCCAGATTGTCATGAACTCACATAATATAACCATTTTAATCTGTTTTTTTTTTTTCCTGCCTACCATAACACTTTTGAGATCTACTCAGGTTATTACTATGTAAATTAGTATTCCCTTCCCCCCTCCTCTCATTTTAGACATAGTCTCACACTGTAGCCAACACTCACAGGTTGGTCTGGAACTCACAGCTTCCTAAGTGCTAGAGTAGTAGGTATGAGCCACTATGATTTTCCTTTTTATTGTCAAGTACTATTATATTACAGGGATATGTCCATTTCCTTAAACATTCAATTTTATGCTTTTGATCTCACATTGTGTAGTAAGTCTTTAACTTTCAAACAGTCTTTTTTTAAATGTGCACTGGTGTGAGGGTACCAGATCACTTGGAACTGAGTTACAGACAGTTGTGAGCTGCCATGTGGATGCTGGGAATTGAACCAGGGTACTTTGGAAGAGCAGCCAGTGCTCTTAACCATGGAGGCAACTCTCCAGCCCAGTCTTTAACTTTCAAATGGTTCAAAAAAAAAAAAAAAAAAAAGTTCACTGTGAGTGTGGATGTAGAGAGATAGTAAAATGTGACAGCATTAGCATTTGGTACACATGTGTGATAAGATAAAGGGGTTATCTGTACTATTCCTTCAACTTTCTGTATATCTGAAAACTATACTTAAAAATTAAACAACAGGCTGTTGTTCCTTGTTATAATTTGATCCCTAGCTGGTGGCTCTTCCTGGGAGGTTAATACCTCCAGGTAAAAGAGGCTCAGTTGGTGTCTTAGCTCAGGATCTACCCTAAGATCTCTGCTTCCTATACTACATGCACCTGTTGCCGGAGACTCAGCTGCTCCAGCTGTCAGTCTATCCTGGCCATGGTGGACCCTAAACTGAGAGCCAAAATAAAGGCCTCCTCACTTAAGTTCCTTCTGCCAGTTAGTCTGTCAAAGTGGTGAGAAAAGTAACTAACACAGAGGTCAAACCTAGAATAAAATGTTAGGAAATGAGGAGTGAGAGGAGAGCTGTAAGACAAAAATTTTGGGGACAGAGAACCTCCAAAGTTTTACTGAGACTTTTTTTCTCCTCTTTGAGACAGAGTCTCATGTAGCCTATCTTCACTGGAATTGGCTACGGAACCAAGGATGACCTTGAATTTCTGATCTTCCAGTCTTTACTGCCCCCAGTGCTTGGATATAGTAATATATATCATCACCTCTGACTTTACATGCTCCAGAAACCAAATCCAGGGCTTTATGCTTTCTATGCAAGCAGTCTACAAACTTCTAGAAGCTTGCACCATCAGCACCTGAAACACACATCCTGTCACAAAACCCTAAGCAAATATGACTGCTGAGAGTGACTCATTTCCGACAGCCAGAACACTTCATTGCAGTAACAGGGTCAAAGCATTTGTAAACTGTCTCAAAATCAGCACATAGAAATTTAAAGTATTCTTTTACCTCTTGAGCAAAAAATTCCTGAATAAAAAATAAATTGTACAAAAAACAGCACTATGAAAAGGATTCTAGAGCCAGCAAGATGACTTAAGACACTGACTTCCTGACAACCAGTCCTTAAACCCACATCATAGAAGGAGAACCTGGCTCCCAGGTTGTAATGTGACCTCTACAAGCAAGCCATTAAGCATGTGTACACACACACACACACACACACACACACACACACACACACACACACACACACACACATTAAAAAACAAATTTTATAAGAT